GAGAATAAATAATATAATAAAACAAATATCTTTTAACACTTAACCAATTTGCCTTCCCCTCTCAAAAGTACACTTCAAATCTTGTGAACAAGTAGCTTTGAAATCATATTGAGCTAATCAAAATGTTGATATTGAATAATTGAATTGATATTTGGTTATAGACTAGTTTTTTGATATTTTCATTATAATTGAATTATTTGAAATTCCTCAACTAAAGACATTGTAATCTCTTTCTTGTGAGAAAAATAAAGTAAAAGAGTCTTTGTTACTTTTGTAATTTTTGATATTTTAATTAGTTAGTTAAATTATTAGTTACTTCAATTAAATAATTTGTAAAACTAATTAGTTAGTATGATTATTCGGAACACTATATCTAATTAAAACATTATTATCTTATTCTTTTTCCCTCTTGAACTATAACAATTTCAGTAGAAATTGGCATAGGATTTAGATATTATTTTCACATTCCTCTTATATTTATTTAATTATCTCTCCCAACTCTTGTTCGCATTTATTCTATTAGTGAAAAATGTGTAACAATACACTTACAGAGAAATGGGAACCAATTGAACCAGAAATTTGATTAAAAATATGCTGAGAAGAATACAAGCTGTAATTGAGGCAAATGGATATTCAACTCGATATTAAAATATATATATCGATATAAAAAGTTCTACTTTTCTTGGTCGAGTAATATTAAAGTATCCCAAAATGTCACGATCTACATTGTTGATCATTTCTCGATTCCAAACTTTTGTTCACTGAGTGTACACGTACATGAGTGCTCTTGGTTAAATTTTGACTCCTTTATTATTATTATTAAAAATTATTGTTAAAAATTATTATAAAAAATTATTATTAAAAATTATTATAAAAATTATCATTAAAATATTTATCACATGATAATGACAATAATACACGTATTTACAATTTAACGATTTATTATTTCTTTGAATTGGTTGGTTACTATTGATACACAACATTATCACTATCATTCTCATGCTCATTCCGATTCTTAACAACAATCTTCGAAATAACAATAAGCATCGGAATTAACGAAAAAATGCTTATCAGAATAACCACTCTGGATACTTTAGTCCATTTATTTCTTTTCGACGAGACATCGTTGGTAATTAAAGGTGTTTGTTGTTGTGTAGAAGCCGTGTAACTTGGTAATGGCTCATCATCGTATGGTCGATTACTACTATCATACGAGTCTATTCTGATTAGGAAACTATCATGGTTGGTATTGTTTGTGTTTTCGTTTGTCTCGTTATATAGATAAGGCGGAGGTTGTGGAAATTCATTCAAATTTGTCGAATTATTAGTATTATTGTTATTTGCGTTATTATTATTTAAATGAGCTTGTGGTGGTTTTATTATTGGAAGTGATGTTGCTGAAGACGACGACGACGACGACGACGGATTAGAAATAACATCTAAATAACTCGGTGGCAAATTTGTAGAAGTGTTCAAAGATGATTCTCTTTCTCGTTCTTCTATTTGTGTTTCTGATTCTTCTGATTGTTGTGGATTTTGTATTGATATTGAAACAGAAGGTTCTCCTATTTCTTGTTCCTCCTGTATCGACCCCGTCTCTATTTTTACTGTTTGTGGTGTCTGTCGCGTTGGAAACATATTAATATTATATATATTTGATGTTATTTGATGTTTTTAGTCTAATTTTTGTCAAAAAAATAAAAAATTTAGTTTTCGTGCGTCGGTTAATTTATATATGCGTGTAAAGACAATTCAAAATCTTTTACCGTTACTAATTTAGTAATGATATAAAAGCGATAATTGTTCCTTTTATGGTTAACCCCCACATATTCTATAATTACCCTTATCACTATTTACTTGACTAATTTGAACTGGAACGGATGCAAAAACGCCTCATTCAATGAAAATCATGACTACTGCATACGTATATGTACATACTGTACATATACCATTTTTGCCAAATACAATAGTGATTGCGGAATTCTATGTCCATATAAAAAAGAAGGCTGATCTTTTGCCCGCCACTTTTTTTCATTTTTCAATAGAATTATGCATAAACACAGAACAATGCATGAATGCATTGTTCTGCTATTTTAGTGCTTTACGGCTAATAATATAATAATTACGGCTAATATTGTATTCCAGTTAATACATGTATTGCATTACGTTTGAGAAAAATCGGCGACATCTTTGTTACCCTTTCCAATCTTCGGTATATGTATGCATGATGTATGTTTGTTTATCTGTGATCCGGAACCGGTCTTGTAAAATTAGGACCGGTCCAGATCCGGTCCCGATACGTATATATATATATATATACCAATTTTATTTACATCATCTAGAACAATAAAATCGTGCTAATTATCGCGTGAAAACAGTTTTTTTATGCATACCGCTATTTAATAGTACATGTATGATTGAAGTCAACTGGGCCAGACCAACCCTCTGTAAAAATTCTTTTCATATATGGCACAAGGTATTCATTATATACATCAATTACAAATTACAGGCGATTACAGATTCTTTGTATATGTAATTGGTGTGTGTAATAAAGTAAGTGGTGTAGTGTAATTAACTGTAAATAACTAATTTATAATGGATTACAGGAAATTTCTTATAGGGTAAACCATCCTAAATTAGAAATACATGTATATGGGATGAGCACTACCTATAGTACTCTTCCCTTTAAAAGCTTTGCTAATTAGTGTAGCGGCATTACACTACGTATACAGTAAAGTAAATTATTCAGTATCCATCGGAAGTATAGAGTATAATATATCTTACAACCGGCCGGTAATCAATTAAATTATATAATTTACTTTATCACTGGACTTTACTCAATAGCGTAAGACTAGGGTTGTTAAGATAGGATCATCAATCAGTTCGATACAGCCCTAAATATGATTGCTTACCGTAAGACTCAATCTGATCTGATCAAAATATTTACTTAACTGAAATTGTCTAAGACACTTATTTTGCGGAAAGGATAATTTGTTTTACTAATCAGTTTTTGGTACACCTCTTTCATTACATAACCTCTCAGCCTAAAAATGCTATCGCTATGAATCAATATACATGTGATCCTGAATATTATAAAATTTATATTTTTGCTCATTTAATTTAGTTAAATACTATTATACCTTTTAAGAAACATAAATTCACTCAGATTTCTATTACAACTTGGATTGCAAATAAATCTTGTTATAACAACACTCTTGGTCCCATTAATGGAAGTTTTTAAATTGTCTTTATTCACTAAGAATTTTTATATGTCTACTAATAATCGGTGATTGAGGGTAATGTCGTTATATTGCGATTTTATTATATCGTTATATCGAGACGTCGTTACAACGAGACCCATTTGTGATAATCTAATTTATTGTAAAACAAAAATAAAGTTGAGAGAAAATGTGTTGTTTTATCTTTCGTCAGCTTAAAATATGTTTTGTTATTAGCAAAAGCAAAAGAATAAACTAGAAAATTTCGATTGTAATGTAATTCTCATTCAGGAACTTTACATATCACTAACTACATGTATTACATGTACTATTAATTTTACTCGTGCAAGAAATTTTCACACGAATATCTTATGTGAGAAAACTCTTCCTCTTGTTATTAAGATCCTTTCTTTAATAGGCATTGTTATCTTATAAAAATTAGGAAGCGTAACGATTAAAGATAACAAAGTCTAAAGGTTTGTAATACATGTGAAAATATTGCGATATTATTTTCCTATCGTTATCATGTGATTCTTGGTGAAACGATTTAAAGAAACTGTCATCTATTATCGGCTTTAGCGTGTCTGTTCTCCTTGAAGCGTTTTTGCCTGCTATAAATTTTTGCAAATTGTAAATCTAGTCAGCAATTTGTTCTGCGGTTTCTAGCAGTTTGCCGAACAAAAAACTGGCAAAATTTGCGGCGATTTCACGAAAGTACTGCGCAGGTTCATGTACACTGAGCAATCTGCACATGTACGCACTCTGTGAATCAGTACAATTGCGCGAACTCACCGATTTCCGGTTTCTGAAACATTTACGCGGTCCCGCTTATTTTAGCAGCTAATGTACAAATCTAACAACCTCATAAATGGACGAAACAAATTTGATTGTTGCTTGCGACTTCCGTCATTTTGATTCAGTGATAGTAAATGACCTGAAAAATGTCATCTAAATGACCCTGGTCATTTGGTTTTAATTTTAGTATCCAAACAACGGAGTTTGCTATTATAAACGTATCTTGTGATATATTTATCGAAAGCCAGGACAGTGCTCGTCAGAAGTAACCTACCCCCCCCAATAACTTTCCGTAGATCATGTGTAATGTACCAAAATTTTCCGAGAACAAAGAACATTACAAATGCTGATCGTTGATACCTTTTATAGATTGGTAAAGCTTCTATGTCGGGTGTTGTATGTTCACGTCCAAAATACGTATATGTATAATCGATTATTTCATAACACACATATCAACATTCAATAATCGAATTCTTGACGTTCAGTGACCGATTTGAACAAACATACAACCATTCGATTCGTCCAGTCGAGGTGAATCAAATGGTAATATTTTTGTTCAAATCGG